GGGGTGGGGAGAGAAACTGACCAGCTAGACTGCAGAGCAACTGTAGCAGCATTCGTACTAAAGCAAACAACTTCACAGACACAAATCAGGGATGATACCACTCACACCTTGATTTCAGTGAACATATGACATGTCTGAGTGTGGGTAGGGGGGCCTTCAGGCTCAATTTTGGGATTCACATTTCCATTCTTTACTAATAATGCATTTCTCTCTCCTTATTAAGTTAGTGGAGTTTGATGGAAGGAAAAATGTGCAGGGGGATATTGGGTATATCATGCGTATTATTATATATCACAAGGTATAACAGAAACCAAAAGGCAAAGTTTGTTTTCGTCAAAATAGTTTTAGCTCAATTTCTTCTCATAACATTTCTTATTTTTGTTATAGTTTCTCTTCAGGTTGGCAAAGATTCAGGCAGGGTCCCCTAATGGTAAAATTTAGAATTAAAAAAATATTTATTGATAATGTCTTTTTTAAAAATGTTTGGTAACCCCAACTAATCATCCAAAATGCACACTGTAAACACAACAGCAAAGGAGTAACAATTGAGTGTGAGTAAGCAGACTATGAACAGGTGACAGACTGAGCAAGAGTGCAGGAGGGAGCAACAAAGAACGAAAGATAGGTGCACAAGTGTGCTACCGAGAGTGACAATTTGAGTGAGTAAGCACATTTGGACCACAGCGATTTCAGCGCAACCATTTAGGAAACCTCTGGGCCAAATACTTAAACACAGGAGGAGGAATGGATGAGCCTTCTTTGTGAGCATGCTCAGCATGTTGGCATGGGAACAAGGAAGCAGAGAAGCTCTGTAGTCATCTCACGATGGATGGCTATCATTTATAGGATGCAAAGAAATTTTCTTTCTGGTCCCTGGATATAACATATACTGTTTTTCTATGCTTTCCTTGACCCTGGAGGACTGCAGTTGCTGTTCCAAAATCACCAAAGAAACCCCTTAACAAAATGAAGAAACTGCAATATCAATAACACTGGGTTTGCTGGAATGCCCCCTTCCCTCTACCTTGCCTATGATTTTCTTCTTGGCATGTCCAACAGGAATGGTTAAGTTTCACCAATCCACTTGATAAAGCCGGCATGGGCTTCAGTCCCCTGGTCACAGAACTAGAAGGTGGGGGTGAGGATGGGTGTGCATGTTATGTGTGCCTCGGGGATCTGGACGCTGCCCTCACTTTGTAACCCTTGCCCAGAACACTGGGGTTGCTTCCACTGGAGACTCCATTGTAACTCTAGAAGTGTCATTAAATACTCAGTTCACCAAGGTTGACCACCTCCATTGTCATAGGATGATGCAGCATCTGCAGAATCGCTGTCTGCTGCCCCCTACTGACGGGGGTGGAGTGACAGGTGCGAAGTAGGCGTGGACTTTAATATTGGGCAAATGGGTCTGAAACAAGACAGAAACATTACTAAGAGAGAGGGCTTAAACAGAAAGAGCAATGTTGCTTTTCAGAAAAAACGTTGAGGGGCTGAGTGAACATGAAAGCAAGGCAGAGGCTAAGTACCAGTTGGTCAGGATGTTGAGAGGCCTGGGTTCCGCTTTGTAGTATCCCATGTTATTCTAAATGACTAAACAGCTCACATAACCTTGGTACCCGTTTCCATAATAGTAAAACTGGGGAAAAACTTCATACTAATCTCTTAACCTGTCCCAAAGGGATTCCTGCTTGGATTCCCAAAGTTGGAAGCAACTATATAAGCTTAAAATAATTTTTCCTGGGGCGCCTGGGTGGCTTAGTCGGTTAAGTGTCAGACTTCGGCTCAGGTCATGATCTTGTGGTTTGTGAGTTCTAGCCCCATGTCAGGCTATGTGCTGACAGTTCAGAGCCTGGCGCCTGCTTCTGATTCTGTGTCTCCCTCTCTCTCTCTGCCCCTCCCTTACTCATACTCCACCTCTGTCTCTCAAAAATAAACATTAAAAAATTTTTTTTAAATAAATAATTTTTTCTTTTTTTTTTTTTTAATTTTTTTTTCAACGTTTTTTTATTTATTTTTGGGACAGAGAGAGACAGAGCATGAACGGGGGAGGGGCAGAGAGAGAGGGAGACACAGAAATCGGAAACAGGCACCAGGCTCTGAGCCATCAGCCCAGAGCCCGACGTGGGGCTCGAACTCACGGACCGCGAGATCGTGACCTGGCTGAAGTCGGACGCTTAACCGACTGCACCACCCAGGTGCCCCAATAAATAATTTTTTCTAAGTCATTGGAAGTTGATGGATGTTTCTTCTGATAAAACCTCACCATCCTCTTTTAACAAAACACTTCCAGTTTTTACTATATAGTTTCTGAATTGCTACCATGTTCAAGATACTGTGCTAGTTAACATAAGAGGGATACAAAGATGGTCAACATGGAGATCCTGCTCCTAAGGAACTTAACAGTCTAGACATAAATAGCTAAATTAAAGTACAAAAATGCTAAATGATGATTTGAAGAATAGACAAAAAAAGTCTTGAGAACTCAGAGATGGAAGAGATTTTGGACAGCCAGGCAGGTCTAGGAACCCTACTGTAGGGAGGCCATAGAAGAGGCTCTGGTTGGTCTGTGGCTCTCTCCTTGTGGTGTAGAAGGAATATGGCTGCCAAGGCCTCCCCATTGCGGTTATGCTCTCAGTCCTCTAGGTCTGAAGGGAGAGAAGGAACTAAGGCCAACTGGATCTCAAGATGAGGTTTGGTCTCCTTTATGTACTCAGATGCCATATGGCCAACATGGATGTTTTTAGACATTGGCTGTAAGGGCCTAACTAAGCACAGTGCCCTTCCCACAGCAGGTGTGAAACAGATGTTTCAATAAATGTCTGTCGAGCTGAATAATCTAACATAAAGATTCATCCAGCCTTTTATAACCTCCTTGTTAGCAACTTGTCTTCCAGTCATTTGGCTATGCATGGGTCTCTTTATTATGGAGGATGGGGCTAAAAGAAAAGGTGAAAAAAAAAAACCTCTTAAATCCATTTGTTGTCTTAAAAAATAAGAACACCAGAAAAAGGGTTTGATGTGAAAGAAAAATACAAATTGAATTCTTAAATCCCATCTAACTAAATATTTTCTTTATGTTATTCCTTTCTTTCCTGACTGTGGCACGTGTTTTTGACTCTGTATGTTATTGAGCCCTGGACATTATTGGAGAAACTATGCTGGGAGGAGACCTACTTTTTTATCCCTCAGTGGCTATTTTCCTACTAAATTTCCATCTAAAACAACAGGTAAAAACTATCTATCCTTGCATTTGCTCTCCATTTTTTCCTCTTTGCTAAATGTCCAAGTAAATATAAAAATCACAGAGATCTAAATCTAGAACAAAAACAGAAAAGGAAATAAAGGAGGAAAAAAAAAAGAAACAAAAGAAGGAAAGGGTGTGGAGAGCACTAGAGCTGGAGAGTGTGCAGCCATCTTTACCCTGAGTCTCTTGATCCCAGCCCGTGTGATTTGCTGGCAGTCATAGAGTTCTATCCGCTCAAGGCTGTGACAACTCTTCAAGTGCTCCAGGGAAGCATCTGTGATTAGTGGGCAGTTGTCCAGTTCAATCACCTCCAGCTGGTCATGGGCGCAGGCTCCATTTCCCAGGTGACGAATTCCATCGTCTGTGATCAGCTCACAGTGAGACAGACTCTGCAGCCAAATAGAGCAAGGAAGGTCACTGAAACATCTCATGGTGTTTTTCTAGCCATTGGCCTGTGCACAGTCGGGAAGGAAACCTTCTGGGTTGGATTTTGATGTATATGGAGCCATCACTAGATCCATGTGGTAAAATGAGAGCAAACTAGAGCTGCTGGGGTTCTGCTTTTCACAATCAATGACTGACATTTCTATGTGTGATTCTAAATACACTGTGTGAGTGCATGCGACTGTGAAATAGTTCATAAACAAAATAACATACGCACCCCCATACACAAATGAACACTTTTCTACAGAGGCAAAGGGGCCTCAAGCTTTTCTTGAATAAAATTTTCTGGAATTTGGACTAAACACTGAATACACTAAACACTGATACAGAGGAATGCCCAAGCAGCTAATTAACTGAAGATGATTCTTACACCTGTTAGGTGTGGTCATCTCTTCACATAAGTCTCTTTACCAGTTTTCCTTAAATTCCTGGTTCCTCCATGTGAAACTCAGAACCCCTTATCCCAATTTTGGATAGTAATATGGCACTAAGTACACACAAAAATGAGCCTGGACACAAACTAGTCAAGCAGAATGCTTTCCCACAGTATTACTGGAAACAGTAGCACAGAACACCCCTAGTAAAGCCTTGATTGGTTCTGTTTTATAGGACCTATTAGTCTCAAGTGAAGCAAATTGAATTTGGGGCCATTTTGTCCCCTGGATCTCTGAAATTTAGCCATCATTCAGGCTGAAGTATAATTCACGTGGGAGGCAGATTTCATACTCTTCATGTCACTTTTCAATCTCTAAGTACTGATAACATAATCCTTTGGTCCTCTGTAAGTTGGCAATTTGGAGAAATATGCTTTCCCACAATGGTAGCCAGACACCAAGAGTAAAGTTAAGAGTTGGGTTTTGATTGAATCCAATGAACACAAAACTTTCGAAAAGTCAAACTCACCAATACTTGAAGTCGAGGACAGTGTATAGAAAGTTGGATTAATGTGCTATCTGTTATCTGAAAGAAACACAGAAGTTTATTATAGGTATAATTCCAAAAAAGCCTCATGGCTGTACCTCATTCTTGAGTACACTTGTATTCTAGACTGATACCCGCCCCCCCCCCCCCCGCTTTTTTAAAGTAGGCTCCATGCCTAATGTGGGGCTTGAACTTGTGACCCTGAGATTAAGAGTCGCATGCTCTACTGACTGAGCCAGCCAGGTGCCCCTAGACTGATATCCTGATATTAATCATCAAATAACAGAACCTAAGGTTGAAATCCCATCAGCTACCTGAACCTGTTCTTTGAGAATCTATCCAGGCAGGTTTGAACACATCTAGTCATCTCTAATTTTCATCTTTGACTATTCAAAGAATAGTCTATTGAAAATCCTTTGTCTCTGAAATGAATGAAAATCTGTCCCCTTGTAGTTTCTATCCATTGGACTTTGTTCTACCTCCTTAGAACAACCACAAAAAAGAATCAGAAGACACTGCTCCATAAAAAAATTTAATGTGGGAATATCCTCAAATTTTTAAGAATATATATTTGGCTTATATTTTATAAGTCATGCCATTAACTCTGAATTGATAAACTGGGTGTCAGGTATTTTCCCAAAGGTGGCAGAAGGGGGCTGCGGGACTCTGGGTTAGCTATGAACATTCAAGAAGCAGAACTCTTGGGGCGCCTGGGTGGCGCAGTCGGTTAAGCGTCCGACTTCAGCCAGGTCATGATCTCGCGGTCCGTGAGTTCGAGCCCCGCGTCGGGCTCTGGGCTGATGGCTCAGAGCCTGGAGCCTGTTTCCGATTCTGTGTCTCCCTCTCTCTCTGCCCCTCCCCCGTTCATGCTCTGTCTCTCTCTGTCCCAAAAATAAATAAACCTTGAAAAAAAAAAA